CAAAAGTTTGGAAGAAGAGAATGAGTGACTATGAATGGAGAAAAAATGGCCCTCAAAAAGCGCAATTAGAGCATCACGCTTTAGCTTTCAGACAAAAGCTCCACGCAACACGCGGTTCAAAAAATGGATTGCTTATTGGGCGGAAGTGCAATAGTGAGGTTGGTTTGGCTAAAAACAAGGATTGATAAGGTGTGTAGCCTGTGGTTGGAAAAATTGCAAAGAGCTCAAGCCACCTCAGCACGAAGGTGCAATAGGGGAGGGGCACATATATGACAAAGCTTAGAACCAAAAATAACTATGGGATATTTCCAAAAGTCCACATCGACCGAAATTAATTGTTGCCACATAATGACCTAACGACCTTAAGCAAAATTTGCTACGCAATGGACATGTAACAATGCTGGCGGCGGGAGCTCCACAAGGTCTCCTAGTGGATATTCGGGAGAGCTTTGACGCCTCCCGTATGCATGAGATCGTCCCTTTTCCCATTTCCAGCCTAGTATGACACCATTTTGGATTCAGCTGCTAGGGCGAGTTTCCTTATGGTTGATTCCATCCTCTCGAAATTTTTCATCCATCGTAAAATAAATTTTACTAGAACGATTAGTTGCACAAGGGCACACCACCTGCATGCAAGCAGCAAAAATAGCAGTTGTTTCATGGGCATTGAAGACTTCATGAGAAATACACAGTTCTTGAGCTTTGCACGAATTTGCGGATTACTACCTCTGGTTTGGTTGATGTTCACATCTTTCGTTTCCTGACCAGACTGGTACCCCGTCAACCTCCGAAATCTCCCTTTCCTGCAGATAACTGGCGTTCCTCTTTCTCACATTCACCTCCCACTACTGCTCTCCAGCTGCCACAGCAGCACCTTGTGGAATGACCGAAAGTGTGCTAAGTAGGTGTTTATAGCCGTTGGGTGTTATCACAATCATGCCATTGCAAAACATTGATAGCTAAGTCCTGCGAGCTACCCAGATTTGTTAGCGGCTTGTTTATTCCATTAGCTGCCTTATCACTCACTTCATTTTGCGGACGGACACATACATACATACATATGAAATGACACACCAAGTTAGCGGCTTTATAAAATAGAAGGATGTTTCCAATGCCTACCACCGCACATCAATTTCTAATCCACCGTCAAACACGTTGTAAATGCACTCGACAGCACAAATGTCGACAGTCATAAAAATGTCGATACCAAGGGCCCCCTTTATTATTTCTGATCCTGCCTAATGCCAATGGCACTTCTCCGCAAAGACGAGACATGCCGGGGAGGAAAGGAAGTTTACGGACTACTTGATTTTTCCTCAATGGTCCTGCCGCGATGGCTAGAGCACAGACGATTAGAGAACGGGTGAATGCCCTAGGACTAAGCCTTGGAGAGGAGAGGGACCCGTAAGAGAGCGCAGATGCGGTTTAAAGGACTGAGTTCAACCGGGGAGGTGGGGGAGAGGGGTAGAGTATTTCATTTCGCTATCAGCGCAAATCATCTCACTTGCAACTTGAAAAAAAGCAGGAAAAGAGAAAATTTGTGGCCTGCTCAAGTTAATAGTGAGCGAATGGAGAACCATAAAAAACAAAAAGCATACCTTAGTGCGAGTGAAAATGGAACTCGATCCAGGAAACAACCGAACCACCATTTGGTTAGATAAATATAAGGAATATCGTTTTTCTCCTAAAGAATGTCGCCATAGAAAGATCATTCTCATAGTAGGAAAGAAAGAGTATGACTCACAAGATGCTCTAATACCCGTGTATACGTTCTTAAATTTCTTGAATGAGTTTCAAAAGCGAGATAACTTCGAACCGAACAAAGATACTAACGAAAGCATAAACTAAACACCGTAAGATCTTCCCGATCAAAAGAACGTTGACGCGGAACAGAATGAATGAGTGAATCACACGTATCATGTAATTTCGCCGACCCGTAAGCACTTATAGCAGAACCGAACCAAAAAGTGTCTTCTTCGTCCAGGTACATGAGAAATAATGCAGCTATCTGGCTCATGCCTAAATTTTAAATTTTTTTTTATAAAGGTGGAGCTGCATTCTGTTACAGAAGGCAACGAAGAAGGGTGCCTGAATTACCTTTCTCGAAATATAAAAAAAGCAGCAAACGGAATGTCTATTCATAAAAGAAAAATGGAGAAAAAGAGTACGAGGAGTTCAAGAGAGAATTTCAAGTGGAATTTCTTTCTTGGCCCTGCCTTAGAAGCTTTACTAAGTTCCGATGCGCGTGACACCCATGTAATTTCATAGTGTTCATGAGTTGAAACCTTCGCGGGATCTTGATTCAAACATGTTTTTGTAATTATCTCTCTATCTGTGATTTCAGTAATCCTTTAAATTGCACTAGACATTGGAATATTAGAGCCACCCCCTCAAGCTCGAAAGCATGGACTTGTTTTGCTCGAGGATGTTCCAAGCAAAACATTAGCAACATGCCTGCACTGTATAAACAAGGATGTGGAGGTTGAACAATTTGCGACCTTTTTTTTCCTTGTTTGCACCCTTCTATGCATACCTATAAACCTGTGGCCACTTTTACTACCATATCACCCTTAACACCTATTAGCACTTCAAGTCTGACATATCGTGGAATTCCTATTTCATTTGATGTCGTCAAGTTATTTTAATCTGATTTGGCTTATACAGTGTCTTTGTGGGGAAGTCAATGAAAAAAATATCCCGAATAATTTGAACGAATGCTCTGAGAGAGCACACTGTAGCTAATTCCTAGATGGATTTTTGTTCAACCTAGTGCTTGGACGACACCAATCAATGCTCTCAAGAATGATGCTACGAACAGACCTACTTGAAAATGTATTACTTATCACGGAAACAAATGAGCAGTTAGGTGCTCAGCTTTTCAAACTGGCCAAGATCGGGGACTAAGTAAGTTTGAAGTGTAATACATACGACCCTCAATAGGGATTGTTTTTCAGGCTTCGAGATCTTTTAGTGAATTTCAATGCAATACGAGCAATGAAGGAAAAGTGGCTCAGTTCTAGTGGGTCGACTCAACACATACACTCATTTATTCGTGAATATTTGATCCTTTTCCATACTTATACATTGGTGCCCCACTTACTGTGGAACACTGATGAAAAAAAGGATGGGAATAAATCAAGACCAAGAAAAAAAAACTTTGAAGGGTAGGAAAAACTTGCCCTGACAGTATCCAACTTCTGTGTTGTACATAGCATAAGCAGCAAGAACATTTAATAGTGACTGTTGCCTAAATAGAATGCAGGTATAGATTGAAATAACTGCTGATAGTTCGATCTGCGAACACTTCCTCGATAACTAAACTAATTTCATTACTTCACGTCGTAACGTCTTCGGAATGCCAAATGATCTCGATAAGTCCGATTGATGTCTAAATCGATTTGCTTAATGTCTCTGGACACGAGCAAAGCCCTCTTCAATAGCTCCTGGTAGAGATTCGGACGGGTTTCCTTCAGTTCGTAAGCTCCCAGAAGACGTGGCCAAACCTAGAAACGCAATTTTCAATGATACCCTCTTTAATATATTACTAGGATGAAATGATTCCTAAAGAACGATGCAAAATTGTTCAGGGCGCCAGTAGTTATCAGTTTACCGCTGCTCATGAAGAGAGGCAGAACATACAGATTTCGTAGACAGTACGAGCTACGCTACTTTACAATGTGAAAAACATGAAAAGAAAACAAACAAAAAATCAGGAAAACATGCAGAGCAATACAAAAAAGACATTGACATCTCACTGTCATAGTCAATAATAAGATAGAAAATAAAATATTTTTATTACACAGATAGGAATAATGACCGGACGTAAGAAAAGGGTGAATTCAAGAAGAGAAGTAGAGTTAATTACCTTCAATCTTAACTTTTCCGGAATTCCTTTCCAAGTTCTTTCTTCGAGCTTCTTCGGCAACCGACCTTTCTTCCACGCCTGAAGTCCGTATTTACTCACAGTTTATGACAAAATACATGCTAATCAGGTGTTCCCAGCAAACCCAGTCAGGAGAGACCCTCCCAGTGGATAGAAGCAATTAATTAACAATTTCACACAATAAGATTCACTTCCTGGAGAGAAACAAACTCACGAAAACCACATTTTACGGACGGTCGAGGGTGTGTCTGGCAGAAAGAGGGGAACGCATGGGAAGAGCGCCCTGGTGGGGTCACACATTAAGCGACGCGTTGAAAAAATCGGATAAAGCACTCTAATTTGAAGAATAGAATAAAGGATCGATAGAATATGATACAGTGGAAAAGAGAAATGTCAGCTATGTCAATGGAAACGTGGAAGAGGCCAAAATGAGTTCTTAGTGAAGGATCATAGAAGTGAAATCGTTCCCGTCGCCAACCTTTACGACAAATGTACGGCAAGAATTTGAACGTGTAGCAATCCGGGTAAATCGGGTATTTCGCACTGTTTCCGAGAACAAACACAATTTTTATTTATTTTTTTTTGTCCTTATCGTGAATGATGGGTCCCAAGCCAGTGATTTTGGATGAGAAAGAATCATGATTCCGTGGACAATTTCTTTGATAACTTCGGTGGCTCCTAACCATAACGGAGAGATATAACTCCGGTCCCAAGGACAGTCCGGCATAGATTTGAAAGCGCAAGTCTCTTAGCTGCTTTGATACAACAAAAAGGAAGATCACGATCGGTTCAGGACACCGTGGAAAAAAATGTCTACCATACCAATACCAATCACTGCAGTTCAGGGATATCCTCCGCTGTTCGACTAGTTATAGATTTAGCCAATTCACCACCCATCCATTTGATGCGCGACCCATTTTCAAAGCTCAATATTGGCTGTACCAGAATTTTGTGGGTATTTTTTCGGACTTCGCACCATAACTTTTTTTTAGCAATTTCTGAACCTGTTTACGTGCATTATGAAAACGCTCTGCATGATCCAACTCATGAAAGATTCAAGATCTCTCGAGTCCACTTCTTCGTCAAAATGTGAAAACAAGAGGGCTACATTTCACTTGCTTCCTTTTGTGCATATTCGCCTCGCTGGGAGGTGAGCATAGGAGCATAGGAATCAGCAACTGAAACGGCCGTGCCACTGTCACTCGGCATAACAAATCATGTTTAAATTGGGAGCTATGGCTCGTGGCCTACCTGATCAGCTCGATGACATTATTTATTAATTCGCATTTTGACCCCACCCGGTCGTTTTGAACGCATCGTCATGTGCCCTTACGAATCGCATTTATGTCATGTCACAAGGGTTTTTCTGGATACGAATCTAGCGCACGTATATTGTGCTCCACATTCGGAACCTGGCGGACGGAATGACATCACGCGAAAGTTATACGTGAAAATCCACAACGTTATTGAAACCACCACACACTGCCAGTCATTCCCAGGATTGGGGTATTACAAAGCTGGGTGTGTTACTGACCACCCTGCCCCACTTCCCACCGGAAACAAGTAGGACTTCCTCTCCCCCGCCAGGATTTCTTCAACGCTCACCTTTTCCGCTACAAGACAACCGGAACCACACGTTCCAAAGATGCCGCAACTTCAGATCTTGAAAGGTAACTGAGAAGTCCGCGAAAAAAAAATAAAAAGAAATTGAGTCCCCTTTAGAGCGGTGACCAACCTCCGTTCCACTGCCGTCTAATCTTTTTGCTAAGCAGTCATTTACAGACAAAACGATCCCCCCCCCTCGAAGCACCTCGAAATCGTTGTCACTGCCTTTTCAGCTATAAACCACCAGCCTTTTACTGAGTGTGAAGCAACCATTGATGGCCGATCGTTGGCAACAAGAAAATAGCGGTGATGATGCATGCTGGTGTGTATATTCCTTCATGTTGATATGCAGTCGACTTGGAAAAGGTTCAAGGTCCGCACAACTTTTGTGACACCCTACTATAACAATTAGTTGTTGTTAGTTTTTGCCTGTCCGAGGTGAATAAAAAATGCCATGCCCACCATGAAACTTAGTAGGCACTTCACTGCAGAAACGTAAGTCACTTCAACGGGCCGTATACTATGCTTTCCCCAGGGGCAGAGGGACGAGAATTCCTTTGAATTTTCTCTGTCTTCCCAACTGGGATTGCCCTGATAAAGGGCCTACATTTAATGTATGTATGTAGGTAAAAGTAAACATGCACTGAAAATGAAGAAACTATATCGTTCAAAACAAATAAATTCAAAGGAAACTTTGATCCCCCAGCTTGGGGAATAGGTAGCATACGGCCCTACATTTTTACTCACTAATCAGAGCAAAACAGATAACATACATATACTGTGTATAAATCCACTTGCCTGATCCATAGCCAACCACTTGCTCT